GCCTGAGTGGCTGCACCTGCAAAACATTTTTGACTTTACGACCCTCAAAAATATCAAGATTAATTTTAATGAAGAAACTAAAAGCTTGTTGATTCTAGAAGAGCCGTAGTCAAGCCATTGTGTGTATGATTTGCATAATGAATGTAGTTTTGTCTCGTCATTTGCTCCACACCAAGCTCTTTGGTCTGGTGTTTTATCATCAGTGCCACATTAAAAATACAACACTGACGTGATGCTGTAATCGTCATACATCGGCTGAAACTGTAAAACATGCAGCAGATGTCGGGACTTAAAAGACGTGAGAGCCCTGCTCAAATATTGAAAACATCACTTTTGTACCAGTCCGTGTTGCTTTGTTTTGCTGCTGTTTTTCTTCAGAGAGAATAAAGAGTCTGGAGACGAGTGCATTGATCGTGGGACGAGAGAACAGACTTTCATGTGAACCTGAATAAAGCATTTACTCGGGTATCAATTAAAGCAGCAGCGCAGGCTTTTTCTGTGTTTGCGTTGGAAAGGTGAGCTGAGATCGCAGTATATTGATGTGCCATCAGGCCCTCTGGCAACACTTTTCTGTGTCAAAGTTAATAAGACGTCTGTCGAGAAGCGCAGCGGCATTCTGGGACTGTTTGCACAGATGAGCGAATCGAATGCAAGGGAGTTTCGTAAAGCCAAAACCTCAGCATAAACTAAAATACTGTCAGAAATTATGAATCACGGAAACATGTATCTCTTAAATCAAAAAAGACATTGTGACATTATTTTCATGATAATTAAACAAAAATGTCCTTAATACTTTACCTTATGTTATATAATATAATTATATAATTTAAAATATATAATTTATATTACATTATACATTTTACTAAATTGCTAATAAATTACTGTTTTGTACCTTTTTTCACTTATTGTGTTTTTAATGTCTGTAGTTTATTACATTTTAGTTTTCAGTGTATTTTTATTTTAGTACTTCAAGTTAAACTGAATTAAAATGATAAATCTTGCCTATGCATAAAAAAAAAATATATATATATAATTATTATTTTTTTAAACACACACTTACACACACACTCTCTCTCTCACACACACAAACACACACACACACACACACACACACACACACACA